TTTTATATTACGAAAATTATTTATAAATATAAACATTTAACTATTACCAGGTAGAAGAATACAGCTAATTTAATTACAATTTTGGTAAATATTCCATGTCGCCATAACAGCTGACATTCTATTTAAGTATCACCCGAATTGTATTTATATCGACTGTATTCTTCCATGTGAAAATAATTTTAAACAGAAATAAATGCTAACTGAATACATACAGTGATGTATATCGTTTTACTTCAACAAAAGATAGAAATTAACTCATTGACCAAAGAAACTGCTTCTTCTGCAAAATTAACTATGTATTTGTGGATAATTTTTATGTTCTTGTTTTGTTTCCTTCAAATTCTAGTATTTTCGAATTTTAATTTAGATAATAGAGCACGACATAAGAAGACAGGACTGCATATTCAAATTGCCGAAAATGAAAGAGAAAGCAATGCAATACACCGAATAGTTTTTTTATTTCTTTATGAATAGAAGTAATATTCCATCGGGTGGGATGTGACTTTGATATTTTTCACGAGTCTACAGTAATAATTATTCTGTTCAAACACGTCATTCGCGAAAACGAGTTATTTACCGCGTTAAAATGGGTTACTTGTCTCCTTAATACACGTTATGTTTTCGTTGAAGTGCGTCAGTTCTTCCTTCTCGAAAGGACCATTAATAGCCTTCCATGAATATCTGACCAGTAGATTTGTGAAAATGTAATAATTAAATTTTCATCTGACGAAAATAAATCATCACTGGTGAAATTACTGGAAATAACTTTCCGGTACAATCACAACCTACGTTGTGACGATGTATGTGTGCGTCAGACCCTACCATAAACACAACCACTTATTCTACAAGATGTTACAGCGTGTTTGTGAGTCAGACCCTACCATAAACACAACCACTTATTCTACCAGATGTAACAATGTGTAATTGTCAGTCAGATCATACCAAAAATACAATCACTTATTCTACCAGATGTTACAACGTGTGTGTGAGTCAGATCATACTAGAAACATATTTATTTATTCTACCAGATGTTACAACGTGTGTGTGAGTCAGACCCTAATAGAACCACTATCACTTATTATAACAGACATTACCATGTGTGTGTGAGTCAGTCCCTACCAGATGTTATGATGAGTGTTGTGGGTGTGAGTGTGTGTGTGTGTGTGTGTGTGTGTGTGTGTGTGTGTGTGTGTGTGTGTGTGTGTGTGTGTGTGTGTGTGTGTGTGTGGGTGTGTGTGTGTTCGACCAAATGCTAGTGTGTGTATGTGCGTATATCAGCGTGTTTTTAAGAGTTTGATATCTCCTTCTCGTAAATGTGGTTTATATTTCTTCTGTGACATTTCCAATAAGTAGATAAAACATGTTACAAATATATTTCACATTGTGGAATATTGAAATATGTTGAAATCATTATACCATTTGATTGTATGTCACTTTTTTCTCTATTAAGCTTCTCTTTATACACATACATTTTTAAACAATCACATTGATATGATACCAAATGTGTAGTAATTACAGAACTCAGTTAACTAAATTTGCATGTTTCTTCAGTTTCGTTTGTAATATTATCTATTTACTTTTCACTATTGTACGATATAATTATTCTCCGACACACTAGAAATAATGATTGAGGACGATGCATCGCGTCATTTTGGAAATCAAACATAAATATACTTATTTGATATGGAATTCCAATACCAATAATTAGGACTGGTTGATAGAAATTTAAAAGTATCATCTCTAGTTTTTCACAATTTTGACCTATGTGGTTACTACAGATATCGCAATGATAAAAAAGGAAATTTGTTTCCATTTCAAATTCTTTAAGTTTAAAGTCTCAATTTAAAAGAAAATAGGCACCAAAGTAAATAGCACCGTTTTCAATACAAATTTGGAATATGATACAGGAACTAATGAAACATCAGTGACTCCGAGGGTTTAACGTGTTAAACCCGACTAAGCAATTTTTTTAAAGTAAATAACTGAATAGATAAATGAATAGATTAATTAAATAATATAAATTAATCAGGTAGTACATTAACCACATAATCAAACAAATTTCCTATTTTCTGTATGTGTTCATGTAAACACGTGGATATATTCTTAGACATACGTATCAAAGACTGATTTTTAGTGTTTTTTGTCATATACTTTTCTGATAATGTTGAGTGTATTTAGTTACATTCTTTATCGTAGGTATGAAGCACTTCTTTGTAGTCTGTTACTGGCTTGTCGAGTTTAATTCTATCTTTACATCATTGCGGAAAAAAAATTATTTGCGTGTTTAAATTTGATACAATGTAAGCAATCAGCTTTACAACTTTTTTCAATAATTAAACTTTTAAACAGTTTACAACATATATTATGGGAAAATAAGATACTGAAAATAAAATATTTAACGAATGAAACCTACAATTTACAAAAAAAAATTAATACGATCTCAGAATAGGAAAAAATCTTTTATAAGAGATGATATGATAAAACGTGAATTATGTGATATATAAGGTATGAAATATTTCAAATGGCAAAAGGTAATCATACAGTTCAGTATGTTAATCATCAAGGATGAAAACAACCTGACCAAATGCTGTTATTACAAAACCAGACTGTCGATTTATTCTAGATATCATTGATATCATACTGATATTGGAGAAAAAATGTCTCTACTTTTGTAAGTTTACACAGAGTTGAAAAATGTAATTCCAAAATGTTTCGCTATATTTTCTTTTTTAATTATTTTAGTGTGTGTTTTATTCAGACAGAATGTTTCATCAATCAAGTCTAATCAGTTATGGTTTCCATATAGTTTACAACGCATTAGTTTGCATTCGGTTCCTTTTTCGTTTACAGGTCGTCCGTTATCACTATTAATATTATTATTATGATTTTTTTTAAAATTCTATTCACTAGAATGGAAATATTGTAGTAAAATGTTTTAATTTTAAAAGCTATGATCTGATAGTGTTTTGGACTCGATTGGTTCACTAGGAAACTTGGAAAAATATTTTATGTGAATTTTTAAGCGTGAATAACAGTTTTTTTTAGAAAAACAAACAAAGGATGGAAAGTAAAAGAAACAGATTGTATATGTGATAATTTCATAACTATAAGATATCTATCATATATCGGACTATGAAGTTCAATACACTACACAAAAACAATGAATATGTTTAACATCATTTAAGAAAAAAACTTTTATATCAAATAAAGTACTTATATTTATGAAATTGGCAACAACAAGTAAAATGATCATTTTTTTCCGGTAGTCAAAATGATCTCCTTGGAAAATATTTTTTTCCTTTACTCGATAAAAAAGTGGATGCTCGTTAGAAATGTTTGTTGGTCACAATGTTGTTTTTCGTGTTCTTATTTTGGAACATGGCATTACTGACTTGGATCAACGAAGAAAACAGAAAACGTTTACTCTTCCGGAATACTTTATCTTATTCTCCTTGTACATTTCTGAGAGTCTTCATTCAAATCTTTCTTTTTTTCATTCTTTGCACTAGTTTTATTGACTTTTGAGTCTGGATAAGGATTCTCTTGATATGTTCGTTTTTCCCAAACGTTTTTTGCTTTATCTGTAGTTTATAGATTCTTTGGTGTAGGAAGATTAACATACAGTACAAAGGATGTTAACTTTGGTATCTTAACTGTATGAAATTTATAATGTATGGAACAATTGGCTAGAAAAGAAGAGAGACCTTTGAAGAGTCTTAAAAACTTAAACTTTATTTATTTTACAACAATTGCGAAACAAGTTATGTCAACTTATACTAATCACTCTTGTTGGCCCGGATGTAAGCGCGCGAGGGGTCTTATTGTGGGAGGAAACCGGAAGAGAGGTGGCCCCTTACCTTTTCACGTCCGTTCCGGGAATCGAACCCCGGTCGGCTTGGTGAAAGGCGAGTGCGTTAACACTGCGCCACCGGACCAGAGTCCTTTAGATATCAGCTAACAACTAGTTAGATCATTGTCTCATTGGTATCTGTTACGAGTAATTATATCAGATTCCTGAAAGTATTAGCTAAACAGGAAATGTGATGAAAGACACATGACTATGCAATGACCGGTTATACTATCTCATAATCCTGACATTTCGCCCCAACGCTATATATAAAGAAAACCGTTCCAATGTGACAATGATCTAATGTGATGCGCCAAGCCTGCAGACACAATGATAAAGGTAAGCATAAGTATATTAAGCATATAAATGTTTAAATTAAGTAATTAAAAATTTAGATATTTTATAATCAACAGTGATCGCTTAGTCAATCAAAATGATTTAAACTCATTTTTCCATGTTGTATGCTGTTTCATCTATTATTCAGTCCGTGCCTTATCAATTCGCACCGGCGCTTGTTTTTTAAGCAGGTATACACTATTCCTGTATTATATCAATAATGAATGATCTGTGACGCTTCCTGCTGGTAAATTCCAGTTCACCAGGTTAGCCGTCACCTTGCTTGCCATGTCTAAAATATGACAGATAGTAACTGAAAATTCCCGAAGACTTCCTTTATCCATTGTCCAATGTTGAAATTTTCCTTCCATATTGAATATTTGGACTTAAGCAAAGTTAAGCAAATCACATGCTTATCTGCAATCCTTGTGTTGTTTTTTATGTAAATTCACGTAAAGTTACTCTACCGTGAAAACTGGCATGAAAACTGCCGACTTTATTATATCTCACCTATGAGCGACTTTCAATATTGTCGAAATGCCGACGGATAATTGCAAATGAAAACATACAAAAGAAAGAAAATTATTAACTTAATATGGGAGACGTAGTAGACAGTAAACAATGTGACAATAGGCAATTCCGAATAATGAGCAACATTTCTGCCTGTTTAAACGCAGAATTCATTATTTTATTTACGCATAATAAAGTCAATCAATAAGTAATATTTTCTTTCATTTTTCAGTTAATGATGATGTTTTTACTGATGAAATCGATGCGAAGTTCTGGTCAAACTTGTCAAACTACCGTGAATACGACGATGTTTGAGGAGCAGCTTGGTCACCTGATGGAACAAAGAAACAACTTTGAGGTGCGTAACATCTCCTATCTCTACAGCATGGATGATGCTATGTGTGATCGAAGCCCGAATGCCGCACCAACTTTCCTCTCTGAAAGATCAGTTTGTCCCTGGGAAATTGACTGGGATGTAAAGGAACATCGATATCCTCCGGTTCTGGCCTTTGCGAGGTGCCGATGTAGTAGGTGTTTTGACAGTTTCGAATGTCGGCCCGTTTACTATCGTATTCCAGTGCTAGAGAGGGAGTGTCTCCAGGGAACAATGCAGTACATCAAAGCTTATGTAGCCGTACCTGTGGGGTGTGTGTGTGTGGAGCCGCGAGTACGACGTATGAAAAAAAGTTATTTTATGAAGATGCTGAAATCAAGATTCGACCTGTTGCATAGAAATGACCGTTTTCTCAAAGATGTTATCCAAAAAAGTGAAAAATTCTAAAATTGTTCCTGTGTTCGATAGATAAACTCTATATTCCAGAACGAAAATATGTATACAACTGGAAAGGTGCTACAATCGCTGCTGTAGGGACAAAAGAAACACCAGTCAATCAATCAATAGAAAGAAAAAGAGACATTCGTCAGTAAATGCTCTCGTCTTAAGGCTGGCTACAGAGCGGATCTCCTTCACATCATCGGATGTGTTGGATAATATACAGTGTTCAGACTAAAACTGTTTCTTATTTATACATTTGTGGAATATGTTATTTGAAAACATGTTGATAAATGTTACATACCTTAAATGTTCGTTTGTTTTGTATTATATATTGTTCCTAACGAAATACAGAGCGTATTTATACGACTTGGATAATCAGTTACAAATCTTCGAGACTTTATGGTTAAAGCGTAAAATATGATGATTAAATATCATTAAATTTAAATATTCATTTAGGATTTCAATATATATTGTTAAAACACATACTTATTTTGCTTTCCTCATAGAAAATGGCAGATTTGCATTGATACAAGAATGATATCTGACTGCTGACGTTGCGAATGGCTTTCACAGCAAATGCCCAGATAATCGATGTTGCCAAAATAACAGATATAGTGTTTTTCTCAGACCACAAACCTTAACTACTTTGCTTACAGTATTGGTTATCATTTTCTTCCCTGTTTGTTTTTGCATTTCCTCAATGGTCGATAGTGACATATTGGAAACATTTACTTTTAAAAATAAATCGTACCAGCAGTTATTACATTGATAAGAATCTACCATCATGGTAGTTAAAATGTAAGTCATCGTTATATAATTACTAGTCTCAGTGATGGTCAATACGTATTGGAAAATCATAAGTGCGTTTTTTAATAGCTGTATTGAAATAAGTCAGCTTGTATTCATTTCAGTTGATTGACGGTTGAATACATATTTCTATACCTCTACACAATTAATTGATGTTAATAGTGAACTTTATATTTGGTAAAACTTCGTTCAGCTGTTTCTAACGGATAAAGATGGCACCTGTTTGTTCCTCATTACAATGTAATACCATTTCAAAGATCACATGAATGGTTCTTTTCTTTTTCCTTCCTTTTTAAATAGAAATTAATATTTCATGGTTCAATGATGAACACCAAGTTTAATTCACTCAAAAGCTCAACAGATAGTTACTAGTTGTATGCATCGGCGTTATACTTAGATGATTGTTACAAAATGAACACTCTGGTAACGTTGTTTTAAATCTACTAATTATTCAACGATGTTTATAAGTAACATTTTCGCAAAAGATGCAAGCATTTAAATGCACTGTTGTCTATTCCATATTAAAGTACCGATCTCGTGATCCTTGTCTGCTATGAATAAGCTGTGTTATATTGAGTACTAAAAAAATCATGTATTCCTGCTGTGTCCACTGTCAAGCAGATACCTTGATAACAGGGGATTTCTATCAGTCAATTGTGAATTGCAAAAGGAAATGTTTAAAATGCATTTAACACGTAATTTAACTACAAGAAGATTTCCCTAAAGAGTGAAACACTACTATAAGAGCCTGCATGCAAGCTACAGTTTATCGAAATTGTATTTACGATTAAGATTTTTTTTTTTTTTTTTTTTTGGGGGGGGGGAGGGAGGAGGGGGAGGGGGCGGTGATTGAGATTTGAGAAATGTTACGAGGATTTTATTTCAAACAAACAACAGATCAATAGGAGTGATGGAATTTCAGCCTCGTTTAACCAGTTCCTGATGACAATTTTATTATGTTCAATTTTAACTTTATTTTAATGTAAATCATGCTTTATGGCGAACTGATTTTTAAAAACAGATATATTATTATATTATATCATATTAGTAATAGAGGGTTGTAATAAAACGATTTATTATATTTATATAATTTTCTGTAATCAACTTTTGTTTGATGAAATAGTTCTCAGGAGTATTTTTTCTTTAAATTGAACAAGTATTGAATTATCCCTGTAACACTAGACTTGTAGAATTGGAGTACTGATAACAAAGAACAGTCTGAGCGATATACCAATCTCCTCCATAAATAACTACATATTTTAATATATCGTAAAAATAGATACTATAAATACTCTATAACTATTATCTGTATTTTACAAAGCAAATAGGCTCACAATGAATTATATTTATAGATACCTGAACAATTAATTCATCCTCTCGATAATGTTAAGGTATTTCAAAAGACAATTCCACGGAAGAAGTATGTCTTTCTGGTGCACACTTCGTATTTATCGTAAATAGAATAGATTTAAACAATTATGTAACTATAGGCATGATTTGTGTGAGGAAAAGGAATGAAGCCTAGGTGGTAAGTTATACGACAAAAATAGCCAATTATCTTTTGTCTCAATTCAATTTAAAACTACCTTTATACTATTAATTTTGTATCCATTTATGTTATTGTTTATTTGTTAAAATGGATGAAAGATTAATGTTTAATTCTGAGAGTCAAATTTATATTAATGACGGTGATTGATAAAACATTAATATCAGAAACTAAGACTTCCTGATAATTGATAGAAAGATAGATTTTATATTTAAGGAGTGGAAAAATCTATTTATTATGTCACATTGAACTAAACTGTATTGGAGATTTCACAGGAACAGCGACCGGACGTAAGGAATCGTAGGAAATCAAGGATGAAATCACAATAAGGTGATCATATCAAGAATTCTAAACAAACAACTGTAATTAATGTATTTTTTAAAATCATTTTTTATTATAAAGCGCTGTCTCCTTCACATACTATACATCAGAGTGTACATTGGAATGAGAAACATAACACTTGGTCAAGAATGAGTCCACATATTTAAATGGAGTCAGGATAAAAACATCTCGGTGAGAGATGTTACTCCATTGTACTAAAGGAATTGCATAATAAAACAAAGCCAATTAACAGCACCACAGATAAATGACATGTGGCATAATACCCTATATCTATTTATACCGACAAGCATCACGATTTCTATCAGCTAGAGACCAATACGTCATAGGTATATATATATATAAATTCCCTATGCAGTAGTCCAATCATGAAAACGAACTTCATTTAAAATGTACAAAAGTAAATTAATGTACAAAATACAAGAACTTTAGTTGGGTCAAATCGCCAAGTGTTGATTTTTTAAAAGAAATGCAGGAATTTGTGAATTAAACACAATAGAATTTTTTTAGAAACATATGACTAGGACATTCAATGAATAAATACAATTACACAATGATAGTAACAAATTGCTGCGGTGATTGTGAGTGTCAGTTTCATTTAACAGTGTAACAAAAGCCACACATTTGCCCTGTTCTCATGTTCTGAGTTTGGCTCTAGTGAGAGCGATAAAAACACATTATTTAACATTATTTTGTTTTGTCGTGATATGGCACAAACATTTAAATCAAAGTATTGTTTTAAGTCTAGTTTTATAAGCGATGTTTCTTAACATTGAGCATCTTTTAATTTTCAATGACTTGACTCATCACGTACTTGTAAATGAGGAGTAATACATTGATCTAATCAAAAGTTCAACCTTTATAAATAGCTCCGGGGGCTGTAAGTGACAAAGTTAAACAGACACTACACACCTAATTGGTGTGGAATACAGCGATGTTATCAGTGGATATGGCGTGTCTTGATTCTTGTGTGAGGAATTACTTACTAATTCTATAAATTATTCTGATTTGTCCACATATTACATACACAAGGGATTTGACTTAAAACTCAAAGAAAATCAGATAAACAGACGGAATATTTTCAAGCTTGTATTAAAAGCAGTGGGAAAATCTATTATATTGATCAACTTATCAAATTACTATCAACTACATTTTATCCGAACTTATAGTAGACGTGGTAGTGCAACTCGACTCTCCTCATAGAAAGATACATATATACATTTACATCTGGCTTATAGAAACAGTGAATACATTTGTAAATATCTCCAAAATCATCTACGATCACTATATCTTATTATTTGACAAAATTACACTGCTAGTGCTCTAAAGAAACATATATCATAAGGTTTCTGACAGGCTAAATGTAACATCCTTGTGTGTCTAGAATAGGCTAAGCATGTTATCGCTTCTGTTGTTTACTTCCGCAATTATCTGGAGATTATCTTGACAATTATCTATAAGTAGTCATTTATCCTCCTACTATTGGTGGATCAGTTTGCGATATGAAATAACACTTTGTTGGCATTTTTTGAATAAAGGGAAATATGAAGGGACTTGTATAATAGAACAAATTTTGACATTTTAATGAATGATACAAAACCAAAAAAACTGGAATGGTACATTTCAAATTCATAATAAGACAAAGCACAGCCAATTTATTCGTCACATTGCTTTATTTATCTGCATTGTCCTCTATAGCCTATTTAGTAATGATAAGGTCCTAAGTTGTTGAAACCTAAGTGGCGGCCGAGGAAAATCCAAGTTGGTCGATGGGGAGGTGCACTAATCCCGAAATTAAATAAATTTCATCACATTCAATTTGACATCTAGTACACCTTTATCTTCTGAACCGTGACACTATTCAAATGAATTAAAACGTGGCAGGCATGATACGATAAACCTCGAGGACAGGTATGTCTGTAGAAAAACCACATATACAGGCACGCCTGGTAATATTCTGGTATCTAATTTTGTAAACATGTAAGCAAATCCGCTCATAAAGGTATATTTGCAAAAATAACATGCATAGAGGTGTATGTGTAAAATGACAACATTCTTGAAGATACATATGTAAACAAAACAAACCCGTACAGCTATACCTGCATATCAACGTATTTTTTGTTCTGTTCTCTTCAATTTTCAGAAATCTAAACATAAAATGAACTGAAAATGAAATAAAAGAGAGACTCTTTGCAAGTATTCGCATTTGCAATTCTGAAAAAAACTAAATTGAACAAAACACATGGTTGCAAAAGACGTTGGTAGATGAAAAGTTTGTTTTACTGTCGTCATATGTATCTGATTGAGAGATATT